TGCGCCAATATGTGATCTACTATCAACTGGCTTATGGACCGAGTCGAGACCCTAAAGTTCCGATAACACAGCCACAAAGTTAGGCCTGTTATTGGTTTAAGCTCTCGGAAGGCTTACCACGCCTTTGTCCAACCGAGCTTGACAAACGCGGGAGAAGTTTATCTCTTTCTCTTTTGAGGAATGAAAGCGATATCTATAACGCCACTACAGATGAGTACGTTGTTCGTACTTGGGGTACTTGAGCTGGATTTTATATTTTTCATGTAAGCTCTGATTATCAATTACAAAGCGATCCACCTTATTCTATTGCGAATTTACTGTTATGGAGCCGCCCGGAACATTATGACGTCACACACTAGAGGGAGCAAATTAGGTCTTGAAGACGCCATGCTATTGGTGACAGGAAGCGTCAGCAGCAAAGAAACTCAAAATTACCCAACTGGTCGAAAATAGAAGGAGTTCTATACAGCTTTATGCATGGCGCATGCGGTGTGTATTGCAGTAATGGACATTATAGCTATACACTATGTTCAGGCGTGAATTTTATATTGATCCATCTTCTTCTTGTCGTTAATAGGGGCTTTCTGTCAGGACATTTTGTTTTTTAAACAAAATAAATTAAAGATTAGCAAGATCCCACGGTTCGTTATAGCATTAAGGAATTTCTAAAAATAGCAATAACACTAGACAACATTCCCGCATTTATTTCCCATATATCACGCAAGACGACGTCATCCTATGAGAGCTTCTTGGCATTTATCAAGACAGAGCGGTACATCGCTTGATCAACCACAAACGTAATGTAGTACAAATGTATCACATATAAAATTTGATTGGTACAGTAGTTGTAACACCAATTTCTGTTAAAAATCATAAATATGGAAGAAGTCAGAGAAACAAACACTGAGAAAGATAGACATTGGCGACAGTACAAATAACATACAATGATGCAAATATAAAGCGGAATAGAACATAACAAACATTTATTTTCGAGCAAAATAAAAAAGTGTACGGGTAAGTAAGCTTGCAAAGGTCATTACTTATTTACAAAAAAACAATATGACGACAATTTATACTGAATAGGCAATAGTAGAAGCTGATAGACCGACAACCGAATGTACCCTGACGATACCGCTATTGCTACAAAACTTTCGTATCACGTCTAAGCTTCCAAACAGAATATCATTGTTTGTTAAGCAGCGATCCTGGAAAACTCAATATCGGCAACTGTTAAATTTTGCGGACAAAAAAAAACTTAGAAAATGTGAGTGTCTGAAAAAGATCTTCTTAGATACTGGATGATCACATGTAGCTATACTCTCGTCTGGCTGTGTGTTCTTTAGGAGACGGAAATGCATAGGTTAACTTGTTTGCTATCGATAGCTGTCAATGACCACAATTACGATTTCTTTCCTTTATGATGAAACGTTCTCTGGCAAAGCAGAGACACGCATAAACTACACCTAGATTACCGAAGCCACCAGATATATTACTGACATCTCTGTCAACTGTAACAGCCATTCATCCCTAACATTATTGCTTTGGAAGAAACGTTTTTTCATTTTCTTATTTCCTGTTGTTAATAATTCAAATTCCTGTTAATTGTGATATTTCTATATTACGAAAATGTTGTGTCTAGAGGTTATTCCGATCAGAATCAACGCCCTTCCACTCTCTCCCTTTCTCTCTCTCTCCCTCTCTCTCACTCTATATATATATATATATATATATATCGGCATTTTATTTCCAATTCAGGCTCCAAACGTGGAGGTTTCAAGTCAAACAATGCATTCACAGTACCGAATTTGTTTTGTTCTTTGTTGACGTTAAAGGACTCCCGAAGTAGTGAGGGATGTACATGGAGAAGTGTATAATTAGAAGGATTGCTCAAAATCGGCTTACGATGTTTCAGAATGGCATCTTAGAATTTGAGGGTGCACTCAGCCCCGGTCGGCCATATGAGGTCGATGAGGACCGATTGAAGGCATCTTTAGCGGAAGACGACTAGCAAGCAATGAATCATTTCGGGAAGTAAATAACAAGCAGTTTAAATCTATAGAATTTACTATGAGAACTAAGCGCCCTATGTACTAAGTGGCCAGTAAGAAAAAGACTCGGCTTCTTATTTCACTTGCAAATCTGAAAAGGCCTTGTAGAATAGGAAATGCTTAAAGAACAAGGATACGCATACGGTCTATAACGAAGCTATCCAACAGAAAAAAGCCGATAGGTAAGACGGGATCATCCCTCTTCATGACAATGCCAGACCGCATTGCAAAGATCGTGAAAGTTGCCCAGTAAGAGCTCAATTGAAACCCTTTCTTGAACCTGATGTATTATGCGAACCACGCACTGATGGATGACCGCCTTTATAAATGAAGTTAATAACCGTACATTTGATAGTTTTGGAAGCCTGGCTGAGCAAGCTTTTAACACCAAATCTAAATTTCTGGATAGAAGTAATAATAATATTGGTTGTCAGATACGGAAAGATCGCAGCGAGTGATGGCGAATACATAATAAATTGATTTATTGCCAAAGTTATTATAAAGCTCTGCGTTTTTTTTATTAGGCAAAACACCGGAAGTACCTATATTCCAGTCTAGTATGCAATAGAGGTTAATTACTGTGATCGATTCAAACTCTTTCGGAAACCTAACCCTGCGAACATGGATCATAAGCTCCAAAGGATCGCAAAGCTTTATTTTCAAGTATAAAAAATGTTAATACTCATTTTGCAAATCTTTTGGGATTGAATAAAAAAGATGAATTTACGTAAATATGCAATAAAATAAAATAAATCCATCTGCGTTCTCTGGATTGCACAAATGTTTGCTTTACTACAAATAATTTTTACTGTATTACGCATATTTTATCAGATTACTATTTTTCTTTTGACGATTGATTAAATATTGACCCACTTACTGGAGTAAGGCACTAATTTTTTATCCACTTTTACTATTGCCAATTTGTACAAATACTCTATCGAATGCACAGTGGTTAACTATTAACACCTACAACTTGTAAGCACTCACATGTAACACAACCGAAACGTTTCGAGCAAGAATTGCATAGTTAAACTTCTACGCGTCCAAAAACGCGTTTTTACCTGTTGAGCCAAACATGTAAAAAAAAAACTAACGAAAAGGCCTCTAGATGCACAAAAGTTTCCACAGTTACTCACTTTGGTGTTTAAATTATGAAATCTAACCACAGCTTCAGGCTATCTACTTCTGGTCTTGTCTCGAGAGATTTTCTTTCTTTATGCAGAAATAACTCCTTTTTGTGCACAAATTGCATTTTCGTATTCGTAGACTTTCCTTTTTGTTGTGGTCTCACGACTGTTGGAATTTGGAAGCCTCTGTTCTGAGGCTGTGTTCAACTCATATCCAGCTCGGATCTATTCACCCCAGCTGATCACTCTGTGTAATAAAACGAATCAGTTATCCTCTTCCCGTCCACTTGTTGATATGCGCTGCTATTACATCCGCTGCATCTCTAAGGGAAGCAAAAGGTAACGCTGATGTCTTTGTTCAACGCGAATTCTTGAGGAAAAGTCTTGTATCCGCCTCTATTGTGCGCGCCAATGTTTCAGCAAACAAACTTCAAGCTGGAGAAGTTTTATCAGCAGCAGCCATATAAATAAGATGGACAACAACAAAAACTGGCGACGTCTTCCGCCAATATAAAAACAGCCAGACGTTCGCAGATACAGAAAGCGCATGGGCCAGCTGCAGTTGGGTGATAAATACGCAAGCCATATTAGCTTAAGGTCGGGCTGAAGAGCGAAATAATCTGTCCATAAGTACGAGAGAAGGTAAAAATCAAGCTGCTCAAATGAGTCCATCCAGATTTTGGCAACAGTGGAAAAAAAAACTGCATAGAAATGGAAGAAAGAGCACTTGCTTACTGATAGTAGTGATAATGGTAAATAAATGAGTTAAGTAACCATACCCATGTAATTATGCTTATATGTAATAATTAACTCGATGCCATGAAAGATCTTTAAAAATTGTAATGTTTATGTCTATATTTTAAGATCAACTCAGGTTAGTTGTGAAAACGTTGATCGCATATAACCAAGGACCTGTTTGCTATGTATTCCATTCGAAGGGTTTACTGGTTTTCGTCCCTAGACAATGAACATTTTATGGTAATACCTAGTCATATTATAAATAAATAAATAGTTAGATATAAAAGACAAATAACACACATTACGTAGGAATACGTTTTTGTGGTATAACGACCGGATCTTACTCGATGTATCGAGTTACTTCCCAAAGAGCTTACATTTCAATTGATCTTTCCGGCCAAATTGCCAATAGTTATAAATATTGAATAAAATATGCATGACAGAAACAATCTTCAGTATACATTTTGATGAACATTCCCATTCTTTTTCTGCTGTATTATCTTCGTATCATTACATAATGTACGATATCATAACGTAAATAGACTGTAACTTCATAAAGTTACTTCGGTGAAGTTTACTTTAGGAAACGACACATAACCAAACGCAGTAGGATTATGGGATTATACACAGGTCGCGAAATCGATAATGATCACTTTTCCCGAAAGTTCCAAAACGCAAATTCCAATTGCGTTCGTATTTTTGCCTGGATATAGAAAACGATAAAATATAAAACGCATTTGCCAACGGCAGTTTCTTTTTAATCGAGTTGGTCAACCACAATTAAAGTGTTATATAGAAAACAAGGGCTATGCCCAATGTAACGAGATTAGCAACAAAAATAGCGAATATGCTATCTACAGCTAAAGCATTTCGAGCTCAAAACAGCTCACGTGTTTCCAGGTAGCAGGCAAACACGGTACCGCTACACAATCACCAGCACAGTTGTACCATTTCAACACCTCGGTATTTTTTTAAGATTTCAATTGGGTACCCAAGAGATAAGATTATGCTTATTCATATTATAAATATACCTAGCGACTAATGTACGCTGAAGAAATTATCATGTAACAATTTTATTTGTAAATTGCTGCACCGATGTGGTATTCCCTCTGTATCTTCTGACGTTACATATAGTATGAAATCAAGTAGATTTAAATATTGTTTTGTACATTACGAGATTCTAACTATTCGTGACGGTAGTCGTAAATTAAATTATACTCTCTGTAAAGAAGTATATGATACCTAGATTAACGGCGATACAATCTTCTATATTCTTCACCAAACGCTGATGCTCTCTTCAAAACTACTTAAATTTTATATTATTCTTTGTAAAGGTTAAACCTTGGCATTAAAGGCGCATCAAACTATTATGAAACATTCAAAAAGTTTAAAAAGCCACTGACTGTACGAGATTTCCTGGGTACCTCCTTAATTTTGCAAACTCAATTGAATTGTCGACCACTGACAAAAGCTATTTGACTTCATGAAATTAAACATTTCAGAGGGCTAATTTTTAATTTTATGAACATTGCTGTAATTACATGAATATCTGTTGTCAAGATTTGGTTCTGAGTATGAGCTAAGGCAGATGCCTAAAAGGAATTCCTCACGTAGCTAAGGCACGAGGTATAGTACACGTTAAGAAAAAAAACGTTTTCTAAGTAAGAATTGGCTTATAGTTGACATGAAACAGAGTAACTTATACGAATTATAAGTATCGTTGTTACTGTGTGCAAGTCTATAGTATCTGCTGACATTTTCTGTAAAGACTATCAACTAACTTGATCTGGCATCTCGACCAATAACTATTAGTACAAGTAAAACAGTAGAAATTATCAGTCAAAATGAGATCTGACTAGTCACTCCTTTCGAGCCTTAAAAAAATAGATCTGATTTTTCCCTGCTACACCGTCTACCAGACGTTTATTTATTTCTATACGTTGTCTATGATTGAAAATTAAGTCTCTTTTTCGACTGCTACAGAGCCGGCGGGGTACCACAAACAAACCCCTCACCTCTAAATTTCAATATTTGGCTGTGTCATTTTGTAATCCATCTCGCTCATCGTTGTTGTTGTTGTTATTATTATTATTATTATGCTAGTATTATCATCATTGGTATAACCGTCATTAACATTGGCATACATTTGTACCAATATATCTGGGATGTGTATATTCAATTAATTAAATTCTAATTTACACTAGTATCGATCGAACCGTTTTTCGATCTCAAACCACACCCATTGTAGTTCACCGGCACGTACAAGCCGGCGTTCATAAAAAGTGCCTGATTGACTAACAGGCAGTAGGAATATACAAATCATACAATACGAAACCACGCTACGACACATCATACCATCTATATAATATAAGCAGCATGCAAAGTCTGCCCCATTCGCATTTGATTATATAAGTTCATCATTCAACAAAGACAAATGACACCATATACATGTCAAATACACACGACTACATCAAATTTAGAAAATTATTTTTCGAAGCCTAGTTTTTTCCTTTTCAATTGAGATATCATATGACATTTGATTAAGCTAAAAGCGAGAAATGATTCTTTAAGAAACGAATAACCATTTTTTGAACAAAACATGCGTTCTCAGGTGTATCTCTCTTAAAGCCCGTTTTGATATTACTATTTAGTACGCTGGAAAAAACTAGAGTGACCTGTAATTAAGGGACTAACAGATATCCAAGCAAAGACTTGAGCGGTCTACTTAACTACTGATTCGAAGGGGGGCAGATGGGGCACACCGTGCAATGTTAGCCAATATTGCTCAATAATCATACGTAAAGCTGCCTCATAATTCGTGTCGTTTGTAGTGTTTTTACATTTTTTTTTGTCATGCGCACTCTTTTTTGCTCTTGCTGCGGAACTCGTGGCAATTATACTAATTAATATCTAGACTAATTTATAGCAATTATAACTATGTACAAAAATTATTTACAGTGATGGCCTGAAATAGCCTAAAGTAGAGATCATAATTATATTGAGAAAGGAATTGCGACGTCGACGCTAGCAGGCTTCTACGAACCTAGACTAAACTTGAAGTCGGTCGTTGCATTTTGAAATAAAACATTTCTCCATCTCGGTCGATTCCAGCAATGCCGTTCGTCACCTTACTCCAAAGAAGGAAAATCCATTTTTGCCACCTTGTGAAAGACTTCATGCGAATATTTATCCACAATGACTCGGGTACTACCTTTGTCCTCTTTGAATGAACCTTTCAGATGGTGAACGAGTTTGTTCAGCATCGTCCGCGGCGCGGCCAGCTCACGGACTTCGTAGCCGGTGTAGTAGGTGAGTGTATCGTTCCACTCTTTACCGAGAACGTCGAGTGCAAGCAGGAGAGCAGCGGCTGCCACGTGGCTCTCGCGCATGCCCACCATTGAGTACTCCATTAACGAGCATTCAAGGATGAAACGAGCCAATGTCATCTCACGCATCTCCATATCAATTGAACGGCAATACCGCCTCAAGAACGAGTAGCTCAACGGCATTGAGAGATCAAAATCAAGCGTTTCTAGGATATTTCGTTCCATCTTAATGAACTCTGCCTTATCGTAGGCGTTGTCACAGATATAGACAAATTCGTCAAGACTTGGAGGAACACGTTCGTCCATCTTGCTCGAAATTAGCATCGCAGAGCCACCAAGCAGCTGTATTTGGACCTTGCGAATCGACTTCTGTGACAGATAGCGGTCGACGATCTTAACAGCGAGATAAAGCGTTTCGTGGTTAAGCTCGAAAATCTCTTGCACCTCGACCATCCAGTCAACGAGCAATGCCCGATAACTTGGAGACATTTCCGCTTGCTGCTCGATGTACGGAGTTATTATAAATAACTTTTCTCGTTCGCGAAGGTACGTGAACGCATCGTGTGCGTAGTGAGCTTGACAGTTCGGATCTTCGATCACCTTACGATCGACATCAGGCACAGTATCTGGAAGATCCTTTTTTTCCACATAGTAGTCAAGGGCAGTTACCGCACTGAGGTCGACCATAACGTTCGTCAACTGGTTATTCCAGATGGATCCAGACCAAACAGAATGCATACAAATCAACAAACAGCAAATACACACATAAATCAAGTTCTGAGTACGTAATTCAGATAAAAAATAAGTGTACTCGCAAGCACTCTAATTATTTATGGTTCTCTTAAATATATGATATCAGATTACGTGCATGCTGTTCAATATGAGAACTCAAAATATACGTTAGGTTGTGCATAATAATTGAGGATGACGGGATTTGAATAATTTCTATTTATCATAGGGTATGGTGCTAGCTCCCCTACACATGGTAAACATCCATGATGAGAAATTAATAATTCTATTTAATATTACATAAGTGCTAATTTAACCTTTTGCACCGTATCCTACAATAAACGATGAACAATAAATTGAATAGGAGGTGCTTCTAACGCAAGAACACAGGCCAGCGTACTTAGTTGAACAAAATAGATGGACCACAGTTTCTCGCTAAGCATAGCAGAGGAGTCGCGTAATGTATAATAAAAGAAACACACTAGAAATTCGCTCGATCCATTGCCAATATGAAACGCTTAATACATAGATTTATAAGTTATTAGATTTCGATCAATATAGACACGTTGGTGCCGGGAAACGTTGTCAACTAGTTGCAAAGTCGAAATATATCCGTACATACCCTCTGGCGTGGGATTTTCTTTTTAGGAGATCGCTGGCCATTTTGTTGAGTGCGCGAAATGCTGTTGCCTTTGAGTGCCTGCACCTCTTCATCCTTTAATTCTTTGAGGATATCCTTCTTCACACATTCGCTGTTGTGATTTGTTACACTATTGCAATTCTTCTCTTTCAGCGTACGTCGAGGTGCAGCATGATTTACCTGCACTGGCTTAAGGCCTATAGAAGTAAAGTTAGCGGCTCTTTTAGCGGACGGCGCATTAGGAGCTTCATCTGCTCGACCCCTCTTGGCATTGCGAACTGTTTGTAGAGTGTCCGTTGGGGCGAAATTTTCAGAGTGAACCTTCAGTCCACCGGCGCCTGTTCCAACGCCACGACGGTATGACATTTTCTGCAAAAAAAAAACAATAAATGTTGAAATATTTCATAGTGCTGTTATTGATAATGGTGGCCCATAAATTACGCTAGGTGAACGTTGCACAATACGGACTCGGGTTTACTTATTCAATGTTGATATTTCGAAGAGTCAACGACCGCCAGAAGTAAAAATCAATGTATTTCTAGTACAACTTTTTTAATAGCCCTGCACCATCTTTTCGAATTTGTGCTCGTATAATAACACTTGAGAAGTTTATTAACAGAATACATGCTGTATGTTCTATTTAAAAAATAGATTCTCCTATATATTTTTGGTACAAATATGTGCTACATGTAACCGCCCACTATGACGACATTAGGGTCTACCTCTTTAAAAATTATATATATCGAAAGAGAGACAGCTGATAAAAGCTGCAAAAAACTGTTCGTTGTTCCTATAGGTAATTAGAACAGGCGCCACTTACGCACAGGTTTACAACAGAAACACCCGAATCAACACGACGTATGGCCGTTTCATCGCCTTGACTGCTGCTGCTGTTGATGGTGATGATCCAACGGTCACCAGCAGCACGATGAGACCAAGAGCAGAAGCAAATCACAGGGCAGCCAGAGCGATGCCAGCCTCTTTATCAGTAGAATTGCCACTTTGAAAACTAGTTTCTAGTTATGCTTGTCCACACGCTGCTGGATTTCGTTGGTGCTCGTACAGCTTCTGGATCGATATTCCCAATGTATTAACAATGCGCGAACCAAAATCTAACGATGCACAACCCAGCTAGATAAATAAGATGCTTGCACAGCGACTACGATAGACTGCCAAACATTTAATAGTCAATCAGTACTACCACTAAGTTTGCACAAAAGTGAAATATCGGCTAATTAAGCTAGAAAAAAACTGACAAAGATTAACTAGATACTAACCCCTTTTGTTGTTTAACGATATCGCTACCAGAAAATGGTTGGCTAGGATTAGCCGGTACTATCAGCACAAACTAAAAGCATTGTTTGTAGCAACGACACAATCCAGTCATTAGCATTGCTGGCTTTCAACGCTCAATGCACAATAAACTAGTGGTCCTCGACTAGAACAGGCTGCCTATGGTAGAGCAGATATAGAGCTCAGTCTTTCAACTGAACGCTACTGCTACTGCTCGCAGTTCGGCTCACCTCCCTTCTATAACTCAGATAGGTTGATCAGGGGTGTTCCGAAACGAGAACAGCCCTCTCCGCTGGCGCGCTTCGAATCGCCAGCTCGCCTGCCGCCCAATGGAGCGGGCTACACGAAACCGCCCAACAGGGTTCAAACCTCAACGGACTTCAAGCTTGCCGAACTTGCCGTATTCACAACGCGATGTAGTTCGGACACAACTCGACAAAAATAACCATGCCGAACTTTGTTTTGTATGCAAAGAGAAACATTTTCAATAACCAGCTGCTACTCTGCTCTTCTGTCTAGACCTATGCTAGCGAATTTTCGTTTGTCAAGCCCAGGATCATTCATAGAGTTAATCCCCTGAACTCTTTGCCAAATGTGCCATAAAAGAAAAAATATATATGTGCTGACCACTATACGAGAAGCAAGCGGATAATGAGTAATTTAACTATTGAATTATTACAATGATGTCGTTTTTCATGTATATTGTAGGTTAGAACAGTAAACTCGCTTTCAGTAGCACAAAACCGACGCAAAGTCAAGTTATGGTTCCTATATTATATTTGTACCATAGAAAAATGTTCACCAAAGTGTACCAGCTACATGAGATCACGAAAGCAGCATAGGCACTCTCCCTGCACCAGCAAATCGAACAACAAATAGCACTTAAAGAGCCATATTGAAATATGTAGTTCAATAGAAAACATCGGCTGCCGTGCCACATAAATCTAAATTTCATGAAATAAAGACGAGAAAGATATTATGACAATGAGCTAGTCGTATATTAGAGATGAGCGCCTCGAATTGTAATATCGGAAATTAGTTTAATTAAGTTGATGACCGTGCGGATGATGCCGTGTTCAGTCGCCTTTGAATGTGACAAACGAAGGCGAATAATACTGGCATATAAGCCATGCGGTATTAAGGTAAAAGAGAAATTTCTGTGCTAATAAGTTCTTACAGTCAAGCTAACAAAGTGTTGCACCCATATACACACTTAACAAGTTTACCTATTAATACTGTTACGTTGGAAAGCTTATGTTAGAGAAACAAAGTTCTGCGGAATTATGCTTCTAGGTCAGGCATGTCACTCAATAAATATCGGTCGACGACCCGGTCAATAACGGCAAATAATCGATATAATATTTACAGTTAGACATCGCGTTTATTGTAAAAGCTTACCTATCTTCCAGATTAACGTTGTCTTGCGGGCACCTAATTCAATAAATATCTCCAACTTGTTCAATGGATATTAGTCATCGTTGTTCTAGACATAGTCGTGCATTAGAAAAATACTAGAAATTCTAACTAGAATACGAAGTTTTTCATTAAAATTTGAAATGTGCATGCATTTGTGTCAATTTAATTTAGCGCTGCGTCATCTGCGTCAAAACGTTGTGGCGGGCCGTTGTAGAGGAAGGACTATGTTTACAGTTCGGCTAGTCTAAATATTTAATCAATAGCTCTACAAAACGCTATATTAAATTCCGATTTCTTAGTGCTTCTTCTTCTTTCCAAGTCATTGTAATGACTCAGCACATATTCATTGTGGCAATTAATCAAATAGAATTCCAATGCGCACCAACGGAAAAGTAACACACGTCCAGACTTCACCAGATGTAAGGCAAACGTTCGTAACCGTCAAACGCTTACAACCGCTCGACTCTGACTAGCTTTAAACATGTCCAAATCTCAGATACTAGAAGAGGCCAATTTTGCGCATAGTCTGCATTGTATTTAAAAAAGGTTTTTACATAAACGGAGAAAACAGATTAATATGCAAACATTAACATACCTCCGCCGTACAGCTCCTCTCCTTTAGCCTATGACCCGCCAAGCAATTAGAAAGCTAAACCACTACACAACACAGCGCAGTGAGCTAGCTTCTAATCGAATTTGAAACCGCCGTTTATGACGTCACTTTACGGGTGCTTCGTACAAAGTTAGAGAAGATTGTTATTGTCATTGACAGATAACTTTCTTTACTTGAGACAGACATTTGAGCGTTGTGTTAAGGCTGATGAAATAGTAAAAAGCACCAACCACTGCCACCATCCCGCATATGAGTGGTAAGTTGGCAGACGATTTGTTGAAACAAAATTTACACAACATACCGCGAGGTGGCGCTGTGATCGGAAGCAGGCGAACAATAGTCGGGCAGGTGTAACGGAAGCAGTTTTCCGCGCGAAAATTGAATTTCGTCTTTGGGTGTAAGCACGCATATACAGAATGTGTGTGAATAGAACGAGGGCCTACCGTCTTGGACAAGAACCTATTTCTGCCTGGCAAACAAATTGTATTGTCTACACTATGTTAATTAGGAAAGATGAAAATAATAGATATATTATTAGATAGAACAGACGATCAAATCATGAATAGTGGAAGTATTCTTCTGTATGATCAGTTGTACATACATGTGGCTTTTCTATTTGTTTCCAGTATGTCGAAACTTGTTATTAATTAGGAAAAGCATGAATAAGAGATTAGAGGAAAAGGATTATTTAAGCAAATTCACAGATCTAATTTGTATTTCAGACATTTCACTAGAATAACAAAAACACTGACAATGAGTTTCGCTTTGTGTGCTTTGTAGGGGTTTTTTGTAAGACAGTTTACAATTATCTGAATCTGGACGTGGGTGTTACGCGTTTCGCATAATAATAAAAATAAGCATAGCGTAAGTGTTATGTAATAGTATTTTCCGATCCATGCATTTTGTACTATTAATACCATTAGGAGACGAAATCAAAGGCTCGAAATTTTGAAAAAATCGAAAAATAACTATCGCACTAGGCTTTTTATGATAGGTTATTTTTCCTGAACATTATTTTTTTCCAATAAATATGCGAAAGCTCAACGGTGTGCCGCTATCATATGTGATGAATTAGCAACGTCACATAAGTTTACTTTTTGGGAGCTGAGTTTATAGCCATACAAACAGGATCGGAAGTAGAAGAATTAAACGCTGGTAATAAGCAGACGTTTTTTCTATCACCGCTATCTTGCCCGCTCAACATGAATGCTTTTTGATATCGCAAACTAGTTGTTTCGTGGCAGTTCCAATGAATAAATTGGAAAATCGGTTGGACTACAGAGGCATACGTTTAGGGTGAAGTATGTATAAGTAAGTTAATTAGGATAGGGTCGAATGCCAACTCTAGAAAGTGGATCTCACTCGCAATCCGCAGCATGGTTATGCGCAGTGCAAGCAGACTGAGATGGATAAAAAACGAGTTTTTATCTTCAATGACGTGAGAGCTCATGACACTGCTCGAACAATAGTAATTTAATAATTACGATTGTTTCATCAACAATATAAAAACCATAATAACTACAAATTAATTTTCCTCGGAAGTTGCGTCAGTAAGATATGACTCATATTGTGAAAACGCAATCAACAATGTTTCAAATATAAGGTCTTCATTTGTCTTTAAATAATCATTAGCATCATTTCTGTAAAAGGTGATAGCTATTGCATTATTAGGTAGCCGCCATCGCCGTGCGTCTAATTATTTCTGATAGGTCATCAGGAGTTACCAAGACTTTTTTTCCGGCTTTAAGGCCAATATATCAACAATGTTCAATTCAAATATAAAGCTTTGATCTTTTTTAACTAATAACATCATTTGTAAGAAACAAATATTTACATAAAACGTATGTGTATGTTCTTATGGAATCTAACCTAACCGACTATCTATTTATCCATTGTTCATTATTATGTCTATGTCGATATGCTTCACATTATATCTAGTTCAAGCTTCACAACAAATTACATAATTCATGTGAAAAATATATCCATTTTCAGGTCGCACCTGAGATGAGCGTGATTTACTCGAGTTGCTCTATCTATTTGGATTACTATGGTTATTACAGGTGGATTCACTCACGAATTAGCGCTTTGTTATCGTTCTAAAGCAAAGAAAAATTTTTTAAAGTTGGATATCATGTTTTCTTAAACAAACAAACTACGAGCTAATACGGTTGGAAATAAATATTCGTTCTGTACACGTAAATTACAATAATGCTCGTTCCATGTATGCTAAGCTTTCTTTTAAAACTTAGTGTGTATACTGGTTGACCAGAAAGACCTTTTTATATAATGAATAGGTCAACTCGTTTTTTGTACTATAATTATTAGTAAACTTAAACTTTAGATTTTGAAGTGACCTAGGAAAATGTCGAAATAAAAAAACTCTTTTATCGGTAAATCTGTACAAAAGACCGTCCAGTTTCTTATCATTACTGAAATTAGCCTACAAACTGCTATAGACTTCGCCAAAGGTTACTTAAATATTTAAAGATAAGATATTTAAAGAGAAGTCTAAAGCATCGTTAACTATAACTTCTGTTCAGTATCAAGGCCGACAATGAGTCACTCCTGAATATACTTGGTAATGAAAAGTGTATCCAGGTCTATGCTAGGTGGAGACTATAGAGATCGGCAATCTATTACTACAACATAATTTTGAGGTGCAGTGAAAAAGAAGAATTTGGCAATGCGGATGCTTGTTGGCGCCCTATAACCAGCTAGTAAGCTCACAAAATGTCAGAATACGAGATCATTGCAAGGATTGAGAAATGCATCTATATTAATTTCTAGAAACAAGCTATTGTCTGCCAATAGCACTGGAAGATTTGATACGGAACTAAAAATGACTTGACTTTTTAAAACGTAGTTTGATACTTCGAGACAGGCAGATGCGCGCGAAATTTAAAGATAATGGTCCAATGTTTTGTCAATACAATAAATGTGATCTGCTATCAGTCCGGAAGGAATGTTTCGTCTTAAATAATTCCATCCTCTTACCAGAACTCCTAGAACTAAAATTACTGGATGAGCCATGTCTCACCCCCCAGACAGCCCAAGGTCCAAAAAAATTTCGAAGTTATACATGTATTGGCTGCCCGTAGAGAGATTCGGATTTTGAAAACTTATTTGAAAATGTCCTAACCGTACAAGCTAGGCTAAAAATTCAGCCAAGGTACCGATTACAAACATACACATAGACGTCCGACCGTAGTACATATCTGGCCGAACTAATAAAAGAAAAAATGTCACCAGTTCTTGAAGATCCTTATTTAAATTTATTTGTATCTTATAAACAGCTTATACTTAAGAATACGATGCCCAATATCACATAACAATTTACTGCACAAGTGTTAACCTATTTAAGTGGATAGATTTAAACAAAACATCGGATCTGCTCTGTACTACTCCCCATCTGATTACCAGAAAAAATTGGTCAAGATGCGATAACTGAAAGATCAAAATAATGCCTGCCGAGGTGCCTCAAACTTCCCGGTCAGAAAGCCTGCTAAACTGCTTCCAAGTGAAAAATAAGAATGATCTCTTCAGGTAAAAATTAGTACTACCGAAACGATCTCATCCAAAAACTTATATGCAAAAGAGAAATGCCTTAATGGCCAAAGTGTGCGGGTGAAAGATGTCAGAGAAGAGGAACATCTGTGTATCCTGCGTAGCTGAAGGATAACTGAGACAATTTATTCATAAAGTATGCATAAATGGGCAAATCTAAGTTAGTACATTAGTTCATTGAAGTGAAACGGTAAACCGTTTTTAAATGCCACGCTCGGAATACTATCATATACAAAACTACCCTTCTACGAATTTTAACTGACCAGACACAACGATTAAGCAAGAAAAATAAAGAAAAAAAAGTCGTTATCGATGGTTTCAATCGATAAAGATAATTTTGTATAAATATAGAACTAAATAAGACTGGAGACTCGGTCAAGTCATGCTTATATAAGTACGATGTCACCCTACCTTTTCTTTGTAGAGGCTAGATTAACATGAATTATTCTTCAAATGTGAAAACAAATGCGAGCATCGTTTTTCCGTAATTTTCGCATTTTGTGTAAAGCTGTGAACTTAATTATCAAGTCATCGCTTATTCTATAGCCTTTGAATAAGCATACAACTTCAAATCTCGGTCTGTACGATGATACGTGTTTTACAAGGCCGCCAGAGTGTGATACCTTAACTTCATAGGTACCTTTGCAAGCAGACGCATCGGTGTGTTTAAGTGTTTAGAAGTGTCGATGAATGACTACAACTATTATCCGTTGCACAACCTTCACTTGGAGAGTTTTTACAACAACGTTCTTTTGAGAGTTTCAAACATATTCAAAGAATCTTTGTAGCATACACAAAGTGGCTATGGACTGGGACAGAAAACTTGGTACCAATGCGCCACGGGATTAGATATTTTCTCATCGTAAAACTGTACAAAGACACACGCGGCTAGGAGTCACTTTATTTGGCTATTTTTCTCAGCAGTTCGCAAAACGCCGGTTATATATATATATATATATATATAGTATGTGTATTACACACGAAGGTTATTAATGAAAACATTTTCGATAATCGACTAGATATACAAAAGCTCTCCTTAGTACAACTTCAACACCGGCGGTCCGCTTTCATGGTTTTCCTTCGACGCTTAGCTTTGTAGGTTCAGCAAAAGTTGTTGTACCCGAAATTGTAACATGCCTATAGTCTAGTAATGCCTACAGCCTGTGGAGGTAGATAAAATGGGTACGTAAAGAATTAATGTGAGTTGTCCTCAACTTACATTGATTCATGTTCTCGTATGACCATCCGTGATTAGTAACCAAATGAAGTAACGCCTATTAATCTTATTGTTGAATAAACAACAATATGTCGGCACGCGATGTGCTAATTGGAAGGAATACCACACAAACTTCCTACATTTGCGACGAAATACAACCGCTCCTCATATGAAATGATGGATTAGGAAAATTTAAATGTTGAGATAACTATACTTTCAGTTATATTACGCTTATTGCTGAGGTCCTACGTCATTAACGTACCTAGAGCAGGTAGCCTTTTGAACTCCGGGCAAAGCTAAAGTTTTAATTTATTATTTAACTACGGTGGTAGCAATTTGGGATGAAACCTCAGAACAGATCAGCTGTTCGTCCAGCCAATTCTTGTTCTATTGTGGAAGACGGAATACGAGACTAGGAACGTTGAACTCCAATCCGTGTGACTTAGCAAGCGCGTGTGAACATGTTAGGATCGCTGGACGACTGGGACGAGAGCGCGCAACGGTGAAGACGGTAGCCGGTCAGAAGATGTCGCAACGATGACCTTTGACCGCTAATTGAGAAGGGCACAGCCGTACGGAGGTCATGGAAACGTATTATATCCTCCAAACTAATAACTGTTGATTCTACAAAATAACTACTTCATCATCATCAAGGCATCTTCATAAATTTCCTAGAGATGCTTGAACCACTACTACTGAACGACTACCTTTACCTATACCACTATTTACTACCAGTATCTCCGAACAAAATCTTTTTTTTTGTAAGCTATTTGAGGTCAGGTAACACACAGTAAAGCACATGCGTAAGGTCTTGTCAATCCTGTAATAATGTATAAATAAATATCTTAGCTAGAATTTCATTTGCATAAAGATGCGGTTCTTGTTGTGGCGCCACTGCGCTGCTATGCCATCCAACTAACTAACTAAGCAAATAGGTATGCTTAAAGAAAGAAGGAGGCGGACGGGAGGGCAGTCATGCAGACGAAACCCGCGCGAGACAGCTTCCAAGGCGAGACAGCGTGTAGAGGTGATTCTGCGTGACAGTGCCCGCGATCGCATCCGTTTGAATCCAAACAGGCTTCGTTCAGTATTTAGTGTGTTTACCAGAGCCGGATTTTAGTGCTACCAGCTGAGTGCTGCTTGCAGGGCAGAATTTTTCCAAAATTTTGACAGTATGTGACGTTAAATTGAAGGGAATGGCTAGTCGTAGTGCTCCTAGACATCGACCCAGGTCAGTTTGTGACAGGTCATGGCAGTGTAAGCCAACTTCGCTAACGAAGCAATCCATCCATAAATGTTTAGTGACATCACGCCCAAAAGAGCGGTTTGTCAACGGCGAAAACCTCTATCGTCGATCTAGAGTGGAGAGTGCTCTTTGATCATATAGAGTAGGAAAACGCTAGCTATATTTGATAAGCGTTTCAATTAAATTATATGTTTGGTACTTGAATCAAATTATCTTAATTACTTACACTAACCGAATATTAATCCAACGCTCAAGCAGTTGGAAGTCATTTTCCTTTTGCAGATTCTATCTATGTGTCTACCCGCATCAGTTACAGGTTACTGAATTTCCGTACTGAACAAGTCTCCAGGTTTATCCCCCCAAAAACTCGGGCTGTTAAATACAGTGACTTGATATTACTTGTAGCTAGGCGCCCTTAGTTCAAGCGACGATATGTTTCTCGAATTTCCTCATTGAAAAGTATTGGGAAACGTTTTCTTCACTCGTAATGGTCATTTCGGTTTTAATTATTAACGGGAGCATTTGTGCTTGTGAAGTTTTGGGAGTGACACGCCTAGAGGTACTACAACTGTCTCAAATTAGACACCTGATAACTGTTTGCCGGTCCAAACGATCATTGCTTTCCTCCTCTTCTTTGAGTCCTTCCACAGAGCAAACAGAAAGCGATTGCACGTTCATTTTAGGGAGCGATAGATGTTACCATCCTACGAAACACTCAACGAGTATTTCGAAAGAGTACAACGTTTGGTCCCAGATTGCCGATTTCGCACCTGCGGAGCAAGTACCCTTTAAAGAATAGTGACATGCTAAGTCTGTACGTGAAGTATATCATATTATAGCAATCCTTCAGGCGTCTAATTTGTGCCTCTATGATGCTGAACTATATATAAGTTATAAAAATGCAATGCAACTCAACGGTTAGATCATCTAGTTATCGTATAATCTTTAGATAAGTGAATCTAAATTCTAAAACTCTCAAGTGAATTCGTGTATGGCCATTTGAGTTTTTACAAAAACTTGTACTGTTTTTGCTGTTGTTGTTTAGCAGGGGAGGTGTTGCCGCTGCTGCAGAAGCAAGTTATTTTCTGATGGTATTCAACGACAAGTTCCTCAGTACAGTGTTGGCCTCACTTATTATAGTGACGTTAGTCACCGCATTGCTCTTTGGAAAGCTGAGTGGCTTTATTGTGCTTAGTGCATTCGCAGCCGGGGGACTATACATCGTCGACGCCAGAAAACGTCATAAGCAAATAATATCGTTGTGGCCGCGGATTATGCCGAAGGTGAATCTTGCGGTTAGCGGGCGCTTCGAATGCCGACGATGTAAGGTCTCCGATTGCGAAATACACACGAAGCTTTACAATATATGCCCATGGCGTGGACTTATAGTATCGCAAGAGGTAGATTCCGCTATCGAAGATATTCTCAACAAAGTGTTGCAGGAATACGTATATCCGTGGTACTCACAACTAAGTAGCGACGAAATCTTCGTCCAGGAGTTACGAATTATTCTTCGGCATGTTATCTCCGCTCTGATCAAGAGGGTGGAAAGAGTTAACCTAGTCCAGTTGATCACGAGTAAGGTAATCCACATCATCGCGCAGCATCTGGATGTCTACGTGCGAGCGCGTCGCCTTTACCCGGACGATAAAGACATCGAAAAACTTGTGCTAAGTTGTTTGGGACCTAGTATGCATGTTGTTCTTAAGAATCGAGCTACAGAACATCAGTACCTGCGGAAAGTCACCGAAAAGATGCTCACCCAGCTGATTCCTGGAAAATATTACCATTCGCAGTGTGCGTTCGCGCTCATCCGCGAAATACTGTGCGGACCAGTCTTCCTAAATGGCATGGACGTCATTGCGGACCCAGACATCATTAACTTGATACTGCTTATCTTTTTCGACAAAACACCAATGCAAGTGTTTCCTAAATCGAAGAAGTCTGTTGAGTTGTTGAGCCACTTTGTCAATCAGAACGCGCCAACGGTTCGCTACTCGAATCGTGATGATTTCGACTTACAGACAACGTTGAAAAATAAAGAGCTATATTCGGGTTTTGCACAGCACCTCAAAGATGAAGGTTGTCAACATCTTCTATGGTTTTATGAGGCACTGGAGCATTTCAATTCAAAGTTGCTCCCGCCAGATATCAATGCAGCTCAGATTGAGCATTTACACCAACTAGCCGCGAACATATATCACCGGTTCATCTCGGAGGAAGCAATGGATCGAGTACCGATGGACGTTAATAAGGCAGCTGAGTTTCTATCGATTATTCAGCAGCCGAAAGAGAATATTCTGAAACTGCGGACATCAACGGTTCTGTACGAGACGTATGAAGATGTCTATCACTTGTTAGACAAAATATTGTTGCCACAGTTTAGACGGAGTGAGCGTTACTTCGCAGTTGCGTGTAAAGAACGGGAATCTAATGTTAGCAACCACTATACAGTTGAGGTTCCTAAAAGCATTTCTCAAGCTGTAAAGCCTAACGCCAGTGCGACGAAGGTTGGCAATGCGACATTTTGGGCCACTGTAGAGGGCGTTGAAAACCCCGAAGCAGAAGACGAGCCTACGCAATTCGAACAGGCCGCCTTTAGCATGCACGACGACCCTCGACTTAAAGACTTAAGTGCATGGCGAGTATCGATTCCACGAGTAGCCGGCAACGAAAATCGTGACGGCTGTTTTTTTGTGATCGACATCCAGAGGATTGACGTTAAAGGAGACCAGCGGCCCGAGGATCTTCATTGGGTCGTCGGCAGAAAGTACACAGAGTTTTACGTGCTCGAAGCCAAGCTGGAGGAATTCCATGGGGAACTTCCAATACAGCCGCTGCCAACGAAACGTTCTTTTGGTACAAGAAAGCGGAAAACTCTTGAAGAACACCTGAGCGCGTTTGAGCGGTATATTCAAGAGCTACTCACGTTGCCAGGACTTAGAGGCAGTCAACTCGTGTATAACTTTCTTAAGATGAATAATGAGTTCACGGGTAGTTTTTTGCCTGATGTTAAACTGGGGAAGATGATCCGCAACGTACCTCGCAAGCTAGTCCGAGAGAAGGGTCAGCACCTCGAGGAATTTCTGCAAACCTTCCTTGCGTCAACTGAACCAATCAAACCGAAGTCGGCCAACGCTGCTTCGAAAGAAGGTACGCCTACAAAACAGCCTGACCAACCACTCAAAAGCAATCCTCTCTTTGGGGACAATGCTAATAATTACTCGTTCTGCCGGCGCATGATCGGAGCGCCTGAAATTCCAGCTAGTCCGTGGCCCGTTTTCGATTACCTCATCTATCTGACTAGCAGTGTCTTTAACACTGAAGTCTGGGTGACTACCCTACTCAAAGCTTTGGCGCCGTTGCTGAGGCATACGACACAGGATGCAGTTGAAAGCCTGCTTGACGATGTCCTCACAAAGAAGGCATTGGTACCTAAAAGAATGGCATTATTAGTCAAACTTCTTCAGGAGACCATATTTGAAGACGAACCACGAGACGCTACCGCGGACGAACGGAAAGCGCGCTCCGATGAGGTACGTGTTGCTACATAAATTGAGCCCAATACAAAGGAATGTATAAAAAATATCGTTATATTCTAAGATTAATAAGCTGATATATTTCTAGTGCACACAACTATTAATTAACCATACAATTATATTCTCGTTCCCAGCCAATGAAACAATCTTCTTGCGTTTAGTTAGTAAAGAAATAATTATATAAAATCAATAATGTAGTAGTAATAAGCTTGTTCGTTGCTGCTATATGTATGACACCATTAATCATATATAAGTGTCGTACGGTATTAAAAGAAGTTTACCTACAACTGAAGGAATGGTGGGAAAGTAATTAGATTAATAGATGTTCACATATAAGAGACAAGAATGGATATTAAAATTTGCTTTTATATTACATATTTACTAATTTCATTGAAATACCGTTTGTTCACAGTCACGTAAACGAACGCAAGTTATCCAAAAATAGAACGCAAGGTTTCTCTGTTATTGAGCTGTTGATCTAAACTGTGCTACGGCTAACCCAGATCGAAAAAGACCTGTTTTTGCTTAAAAATGTCGCGTATTGTCGGGTTTTTCGCTGAATCCGATATAAAATTTGAAAACAGTTTACTTTTTCTCGCTTTTTTCTTAAGGCGACCAAGGAGCGTTTATTAACTTATATAGGTGGTACTGATTAGGTTAAATATTCAATTAATAACGTATTACGAGAGAAGTAATATAAAACAACGGTTGAATGTTTTGTGCTAAAAATCTAGGTAGTTCCATGTGTACTTTTGTATCGCTAAAATGGCTAAAGGAAACCTTGTCTGCAACTGCTACGTGTTACTGTGTAGATTGAGTTTGTCAAACAAGAACATACATAAGTGAACCATAACATGGAACACAAAACGGTTTATCGCCATATAAGAGCACTGAATAATCAAAATTCTGGCATCATCACTGTACAAGTATTAAAGCATTCTAAAAATAGTTAGGGTTAATTAAGCTCTATTGTTTGCCCTATATATATGTATATATGACTGGCTAAGCTTTGGCGCTGGCTGGTACGAAGGACAGCCCCCCTGCTCTAGGCTTATATAACCCTACACTAGTTGGTTTATTATAATACTGCCATACTGACATTCGGTGGAATGTCTTGATCCAGAAATCACTATTTTTTAACAACTAGTAAATTTAACCTTACACTCCATCGAGATCTCTTCGCAATCGCTTCGCACACGTCTTACCAGATTCTACTGTGTCCAAGGCCGTATAGCAGCTCGCACAGTTTCCAAATTTCAACGTGACTAGGCATATTTTTCCACGAGTCGGCCGCAACAGGATCACACAACAAGACCTTCAGTCGTCTTGATGTATTTTCCGTTGTCGCGGTAGTATTCGTGATGATCTCAGCTGTTCCCTTTGGCAAATGGGGCTCATGCTCACTTTTTTCAGTAACGGACGTGCCCGTTGTCGATAGGGGTAAAAACTAACATATTTCTGCGGGCTTCTCCCGTAAGCTGACCACCAGTGATTCATCAATTTATGTACCGTGAAGTCAGCATCGTTGTAGAGATTTGAGGTGATCAAGCTGGCGGGCTGGCCTGAGGCCCGAGACACACAACTCAGTTGTTAGGCCGGATGGTGATCACATAACACGAAACTGGCACAATTCGCTGGTTTAACTTAGTATAGGAAGTCACCCCCGCTACGATGAGAAAATTAGCGAAAGGTACTTATTTGCCATTTTTTAAATGCTGCTCAGACAACTCGGCTTTATACCTAACTCCTCTAGCAAGCACCGCTTAATATTTGAAACGGTGAAGAGCACCTTTCGTTAATTTTCTCACATCCTCCAGAGGAAAGCGTTCGTGCAGCCTCGCCTTGACGCTTTCCCACCTATTCTCTGCACTGATGTTGAAACCCAAGCTATTCTCTATAAATGTCAAAGCGCTCGTCTCACGACTTGATCCGGTAACTACTTTCGTTCCTTCACAAGTTGCTCGTACTCCTGAGCCCATCGCTTGGACCTCCTCCCGTCGAGCTCACCGCGGGCGACTCTCCATCACACTTCCGAGTACCTCTTTCGCGACCTCGATCATTTGGCCAGCCATCCCACCGCGTACTGCCTATGTTTTGCTGTTGGCTAGTAGGAACGAGCACTTCACAGATATCCGTTTTGCGCTTATTTAGCCCTAGACATGTATTTGAACTATGATGTTTGATCTATTACAAATGATATATATATATATATATATGTATATATATGACTGGCTTTACGTTTGGTACAACGAAGTTTGCTGTCATTTGCAGGTATTAAAACAGATGAAGGAGTTCCTACCATCAGTAGTGGTCTCTATATTGAGCCGTAAATGCCACGACCACGGAGCAGAATTAATCCACGACGTGATACAGCACCCTCTGCTTAACAAGCAACTATCCTATGTACTTCTTGATGCCCTCCTCCTCGAACTTTTTCCAGAGTTTTAATAATCATATTTCGGTTTAGTTGGACAAAGAAAAAACAGGGCAAACGATGAATCGACCGGCAATTATCACCAAATCTGCGCATCGCTTCAGGCAATATATGGCGGCTGGGGCAACAGTTGCACAGAGAGAATACATAATATCAACAAATGAAAACATAAGGAAAGACCGTCATCGTACGTGCTGGTATTCTAGTTATTCAGGTGTAACAGCGCGTACGATCATGATGATACCTAGGTGAACCATGTTGTCGATCATCTTGCAATTACTACTATTGAACGTGCGAGTTACAACTATTATTATTATTATCACTGCTGTAATTATAACTACTGTTAATGCTCATCTTTATCAATCAGAAGATTTGCTCATTGTCTCTGTCGCTACTTCACCATGCCCCTGAAGCGCCGCGCAGTTTTGAAGCGTAGTCGATCCTTTGGTGAAATATTACTAGTGCAGTCCACTAATGTACAATGAAAATACTTTTGTTGAGAATGATAAGGTATGTATGGTATATGTGACAGTGCGAGAGTACACAGTGTGTGCGGAATAGGGTGTGCATAGTTAACAAATGGTATACATCTTCCAGAATGAACGATACAAACGTTCAAAACGGTGATAATGAAAAGTCATATGTAGAAACAACTAGACAAGTAGACAGAAGTGCACTGTACTCGACCAACATTCAACGGGAGTCCTTACAGCTATATGTCGAGCAATGAAGTCTCGGTAGTCGGGTAAGTTGTAGCAGCGACTGAAATAATAACACGAATAAGTAATAATAGCTAACACTAGTGTGAGCAATGAGGTGTAGACCACAACTGTAGGTGTGGTGGCGCTCAATAGATCTAAAGAAGTTTTACCCAACGATTTCTCAGAAGTCGTTAATGCCAGTTTCAAGGTAGAGCCTGGGCCAGAGATTTTAATTATTCGAGATACTTTTGACCAACACGCAAATTAAGAACAAATTGGAGCCGTTTTTTCATATGACTTTTTTGATATACTAACCGCAAAAAATGCGTATGGTGCTAGAGCTGACCATACCTAAACAGAACAGGTGTATATGTTTTTTAATGGCATCTCTAACGTCATGAATGTTCTTTTACGCATTTTAGCTTGAGTTTGATGACATCACAAAAATACTTTATATCTAACTGACATGCATTAGAAGCCTTATATCGAAGCGAACCACTGTCAAAAATTGGCAAAATGTAATTGTTGCGTAACAATACGTATGTGTGATTGTCTGCTTTATATTATTGGTTAAATATTGGACCCAACTTCACAATTACATACCACCAGTATTCTCTGTAAATGCTTAGCACTGCGAAGCCAGAACGTATAGGACGATATTTAACAGCTGCTCGCACTGAAAAAGCGTTAAGATGGTTGAAATATGAATGAACTGAACAATCGTCTAGGAAAGCGATCAGGCGAATCAGCGCTAACTACGGTATTTGCAGCATACGTTGCCGCCATTTGAATGTACTTCAATAGTAGTAGTAACACTCAGTTTGCCAGACGGAAGGCAATCAGCAGAAACGGTAGAACGTAGGCAGCAACCGTGTACATAACTATTATATAAATACATAGCGTCGAGGTGTGTTCAAATGAGTCTGATGAGCCAACAAAATGCGAGCGCTATATGGACGAACGGCAGTATGTGTGTTCCGCGAGTTGTCTAAAAATGAGCTGATCCCGTTAATTGAAGAAGTAATTATATGACAAGTAAATGCTAAAAGTAATAAGCGAGAGGAGATAATTCATCTGGGCTGCTTCTAGATAACTCATTCCCGAGTAGCTCCAGAATTCCGGAAGCAGGAATTGACGCAACGGTAACTGAAGCACAGTCTTTTGCATCTCCTTGTTATATTCTTATTTTTCCTGTTGTGTGGCTTTTTTAGCAGATTAAGCCTAAACCAAAGGCTAGTAAATGTTTTATCGTTGTTTGTTTTAAATGATCGTTCTCTGTCGTTATATCTAATGCAACTAAATTTCGTTTTCAATAGCTAGCTAAGACAGATGAATCACACAGCACTGCGCAGGTGTTAGATACGTCTTGCATTTGTATGTATACGCATGCATTAATGTTGACAGTCACATAGCTTTCGTCTGCTTGCTTTGGCCTTCAACGTGTTTAGTTACAATAACACCGAGGTAGTTACTATTTCTATCGTTAATGATCAGAAAGCAGTGTACACGTAACTAGCACTGTACATTGTAAGTTTGACTTAATAACGGTAGCATCAGCAGAGCTTGCTCGGTGGCTGCTGTACAGAAAGCTGTTGTTTCTATAGGGAACGGAAGACAATTTTCGGTCGATGAGGTCGTGTAGACATTCAGTATCCAGGACATGGACATAAAAACACGACCGTGCGTCGATTCGTGGGCAACGGGGCGCGAGACGTGATTTGAGAGATAGATGTGATTTACAGTAATTAAAATAATGATATCGATGAAGACAGCAACACAGGACAACGCGGATTTGGGGCACCGTGTTTACGTGTAAACGATCGCAAGGAAGCGAAATAATGACGATAATTAGGATGTATAAATAATGAAATATATA